GATCTTCTGTTGATATGTGTTTTAGTAGTTAAATTCTTGGACTGTCATTGCTCATGAAAAGTGCTGTCACATGGGTAGAAATCGGGTAAATACTGAATTTTATTAATATCAGCAGAACTGACTTAAATGGGGCCTGTGTGTTGTGTGCCATAATCTTTGTATTCATGCCTGTCAGTGTGTGAGAAGCTATTTGTATATATTTGCTTGCATATGCAACCACACTTAATTTGAGGCCCTCAGCATCAGTGTGGCCCCTGGGGCTTCCAAAGTTGAGTTGCCCTAACTCATCCCTGACAGGTGTCTATCTAACCTGGTCTTAAATATCGCCAGTGATGTAGGTTCTGCAATCTCACTAGGCCAGTGTTTCCCAAACTATGGGCCGTGGCCCGGTACCGGGGAGTGGGACTGACCCGGCCATATGAAGATCTCGGGGCGCTGCGCCCCTCCTTCCCCCACAAAGCACGAGTTAGTCTGGCCCGGGGATTCTATTGTCCCCCCCTCCCTCCTTCCCTCCCCCACACCCTCTCGAGTAGTTGCGAACTGTCTGGCTGGTAGACACACTCATGCAGCCTGAGCACATTTACCAGCCAGGCAGTTGGAAACTACAAATTGATACATCTAGTAATAATAAAACGTACCTAATGAGAAAATACCAGACATGTTATATGTTTGGTATTTTCTCAGTTTGTTTTTTATGTGTTTATATTTTCAGGCTGCAATATTAGCTGTTAGCCAAGGTGATCAAGAATAGTGACCCAAACCTCTTGACAGAAGTTGGGACTAGATGACAGGATGGATCACTCACTTCAGATTGAACAGAACAGGACAATTTATTATCTGAAATAGTTGGAAGACAGAATAGTGGGCTAGATAAACCAGTGTCTGGCCAGTATGCCTCTGCTGATGCTCACAAAGCAAGTATCTATTTTAAATTGTATAAACCTTTGAAAACTCATAGCATGAGTTTCAAGACATAAATGCGCACCTCTTGAATATTACTATATTGAAAAGTTTGGGAACCCCTGGACTAGTGAGTTGACTAGTCACTTCACCCTCCCCTTGCTGCGTCTATCAGAGAGAGGCAGCAAGGGGTGAGGAGCAGGATCTGGTGCTGGGGGGAGCCGGCCGGTTCCCCCTCAGCACCATCTCTATGGGGGGGGGGAAGTGGAGGCAGAGGCATGGGGAGTGGAAGGACAGAGCACGAACTGGGAATTAGCTGATTCCTGGCTCGCATCCGGTCTCCCTGCTGCGCTTGTGCTTTTTAAATATTAAGAGCCTGGCGGCTCTTAATACATTTAAAAGGCAGAGCCACAGCAGGATTAGCTAGTTGATTAACTGATTAAATGTCATTTCATATCCCTAGTGAAGACCACCTCTGAGATGATGTGTATTACTTTTAAATTAAAATACAGGGCTAGATTGAGACTTCATTCGTAGGGCCGAGGATGAGGTGTAGCTCCAACAAGGATTTGTGACTCAAAAAGTTGACTCCAGCTCATGACACCCCCTGAACTCTTGAATTCAGCAATGGGGTGGAAATTGCTGCATTAACATTACGATATGCCGCATATTCCTAGTTTCTTATCAAGCAAGTCATGCTGAGTGTGTGGGGCGAGTGTTTCCATAACTTAGTTCCATGCCCTTTTCAGTCATCTGCCAACCTGTATGTTCATGGGATGCTTGAAAGAGCCTCCACATTTCACCCATTTCAAGGGGTTTGCTTTGGATAAGCCCCAAAGGGCTACACTTGTGCCTTTTTCTCCCGGTGCAGTGGTATAGGGATGTGTCGTACTCAAGCCCATACTAAGGAAGATAATGTGGTTTAAAATG